TGACTCTTTGCTCTGAGAGAACCAGCAGCTACAACTTTTCAAAGTCAGCTTTGATGTACATTGTATTTTTAAGGTGCTCATGAATGGCACCAGTGCTTACGTTGGGATCAGCTGTCTTGGGTCTGAAAAAAAAAAAGGTTATGCTTTCATCTTTGGACCCTAAAACATGTAGACGAAAATCAACATTAATTGGCAGGGTGAATGAGGGTGGGGAGGGCGGGTGCTGGGCTGCAATGTTCTTAGAAAGAGTGCTGAGAGAGATGCTTACAGCCCCTTAACCAGGGATGACAACTTGATTTTAATTAACAGCAGGTGACTCTTGTGGTCAGCTGTCTGACATTTGGGTGGTTCGCACAAAAGCCTTCTCATCTGAACCACATTTATTTCCAGCTTAATTAGTCCTTCTGAGATAGCCTTGCTATTAGCAACAGCCTCTCCATTTAAGATCCTTTTAACTAGACCTTTCATTTATTTTATTTTATTTTTCATTCTTCTCATTTTAGTTCTGGCTTAATGTTATAAAGGGCCTGGGCTAACTCATTTTAATGACCTCTGCTCCATAAATGCTAATTTTACATTTGGCCTTATTTTGGGAGGTTTTTTTTTTTTAAGACCATTGCTTTCAGAAGGACAAAAATGGAAAGATTAAACCCCTTACTGTCATCTGCCTGAAAAATCCCGTGGTTTCTTGTGACAGGAAGAGGGTTTTCAAATCCCTCCTTGGTCTAAGCTTCTGTGCTTGACGCCTCATTATTTAACTCAGCTGTTCCAGCCTCACCTTCACCCAGTTAATTAAGTAACTCATTGAATGTATTATTCAGTTTTGATTCCCCTGCCCATGACAGAGAGAGATGGCGGATGCTTCCTCATCCTTGCCCTCCTGCCACTTTTTCTTTCCTCTTCTTTCTCTTCTGCACAAACCTAAGAAGGGAAAAAGAGGAGCAGGAGAGGAAATTGTGTTGCAAGAAGGAAAAAGAGGGTATTATTTTCTTAATCCACCCATCAGTTCCTGGAGTGGATTGTTTAGGTTTTTTTTAAAGGTAGCTGTACTCAGAAGATGAAGTTGATGGTGGTAATGATATGATCTGTCTTGATGATAATCATAGCGTTACTATATGCAGGGCAACGTGCTAGATGTCTTTCTCACATCATCCTATTTGAAACTCATAACAGTTCTATGAGGAGGGAAGCACTAGAAACAGCCCCACTTCACAGATAGGAAAGCTGAGGCTTATTGTTTAAATCACATAGCTAGTAGGCGTCAGAAACTTAATTGGAGCCCAGAGCTAGCCAGCTGACTCGTGATACCAAGGGCATCTCTGTCAGATTATCTGTGTATTTGTAGTCGAGTGCAAATTCTTAAAATTGGTGGGGTGGGATTTATGATGAAAATATTATGAGAAGGATGTCCAAATCATAGGTTACCTGCATTTCTTGATCTATTAATGACAGTTAGAGAAAGTTGGCTGTCTTCGAGGGCAGTGGTCCTCAACCAGGGGCAGTGTAATCCCCCAGAGACATTTGGCCAAACAGCTATGATATATGACCCTTTATGTGTGTACATTCAATCCAGTAAGAGAATGTTTGCATGTCCCTTGTTGAATACACATGGGTTTGGTGGGGAGGAGGGGGCTGCACTTGGACTTCGCTAGTTGTTTGTTGACCTGGCTGGAAATAAGTAAGAGAAAATATTTAATATGGATAAAAGTAGAAGAGGGGGGATTGGGGAAGGGGGTTTCTGTGCACAAGGAGAGAGAAAGAAGTAGTAACACGAAAAGGCAGATAGAAATTTTGAGGGCAAAGCCACAGTAATTGAAATAGATTTTGGAAATTGTGGATCTGAGAAAGAATTAGAGGTTAAGGGGGGAGGCAAATGGGAAGATAAGGAAAAGTAAAGAGACAAATAGAATAAAACCAAAGTAGGTGTGTGCATGAAAAAGAGAGAGACAGAGGTGGGGAGAGAAGAAAACACAAGTTGAATGACTATTTAAGAGAAAGGAAGGTAGAACCTTCTAAGAAGGTGAAGTAGAAATAATTTTTGTTTCTTTTTAAGCCTGTCTGTCATGAAATATAGTTTTGTTTTGTTTTAATGTGGGAAATATCCCAGTGAAAGGGCACGCTGTGTACCGGGGTGGGTGAAACACAGGCTCCAACTCCGACGCCACATTCTTTAAGTTTCTCCAGGTGTTGCTGAATAGATACTAGGTGTCCAGTGCTGTGAGCCTCAGTGAGGCTCGAGCATGGAAAAAACAAAAGTGAAAGACCGTTCCTTCATGGATCTAAGAGTCTAGTGGGCGTGAAGGCAGAAAAATAAAGAAGACAATCAACCTTTTCAGTGCCAGTTGTGGTAAGTGCACTAAGTAAAACAAAACAGAGAGAGTCAAACAAAACATCCCTGGGTGTCAGGGGCAGAGCTCACCGATGAGCTGGTGTTTGAACGGACACCAGGTGGGATGAAGGAGCCAGCCACGTGGCTGTCCCGAGCAGGAGCTTTGCAGGGGAGGGTGCACCAAGTTCAGGCCAACACCCCAAGGTGGGCGTGGGACACAGCATCTGAGAAGCTGTCGGCAGGGCGGCACCTCTAGAGGGAAGTGAGCAGCCTTCGGAGGGGTAGCTGTTAGGGAATCGGTCCAGGAGGGCTGTGTGCGGAGTTGAGTTTCATCCTCAATGGTACCAGTGACCCTTTTATTTCTATTTTAAATTCTGCCATTTGCAACAACAGGGATAGATCTTGAGGGCATTACACTAAGTGAGATAAGTCAGACAACATAAAGGACACTTTGAACTCGTCTACAAAACAGAAACAGACTCGCAGACACAGTAAAACAGTCTTATGGTTACTGGGGAAAGGGGGTGGGAAGGGATACGTTTGGGACTGTGAGATTTACAAATGTTAGCCACTATATATAAAAATGGATGTAAAAAATTTTTTTCTGCTAGATAGCACAAGGAACTGTGTTCAATATCTTGTAATAATCTTTAATGAAAAAGAGTATGAAAATGAATGTATGTATGTATATGCATGACTGGGAGATTGTGCCGTACACCAGAAGTTGACACGTTGTAACTGACGGTACTTCAGTTAAAAAAAAAAAGAAAGACAAATACTGTATAACTCTGCTTATAGGCAGCATCTTAAGGACCGAACTCATTGAAACAGAGAAGAGAGATGTAGTTGCCAGAGGCAAGGGGTTGGTGGAGGGGGAATCGGGCAAAGGTGGTCAAAGGGCACCAGCTTCCAGTTATGGGTAAGCACTAGGGATATCATGTACAGCAGGATGAATACAGTGAGCAATTCTGTATTACATATTTGAACATTGCTAAGGGCGTAGATCTTTAAAGTTTTCTTTATGAGGAAAAAAAGTTTGTAACTTTGTGAGGTGATACATGTTAACTAAACCTATGGTGGCAATCCGTTCACTACGTATATATGTACGAAATCGTATGCGTATATATACACATGTGTATATATATACGTAATCGTTATATTGTACACTCTTAAACATACAGTGTTATACATGTTTATTATATCTCAATAACACTGGGGGAAAAGGCCTGAAATCTGGAGAAATAAAAGGACTTCACAGACAGTATGATGATCACATGTCTGTTCTGATGAATTACCTTGCTGAGATGATACTCCTGTGCTTAAGAGAACGGTGTTACACCGTTCCCTTGCCGACCTATCTGTGTCTGCTATCCATGTGCGGAAAGTCTGTCTCAGGGGTGGGGGGAGCCAGAAACACGCATCTCTTGACGATACTGGTGGATTTCAGCGGAACGAAAATGAGCTTTTCAAAGTGAGAAGGTCCCCTGGCCTGGGTGCTTTGCTTGAGGGGTTCCTCTGATGGCGCTGTGCCTGTGTGACACCCGGGAGAGCGCCTCTCGAGCAAAGTGCCCACGGGGCGCACCCAGCCTGGAATTCACTGACAAAGCGTAAGCAGCCCACGGGGCCTGTGACCCCAGCGAGTTGCTTAGCCTGACTTTATCGGTGGTGCCTCTTCCTTTCCATTATATTCGCTATTACCAGAGCTGACCATATCTCTTAAAACCTGTTAACCTTATGCAAGGGGAAGGGACTGTTTGAGCGCTCAGACAGGAAGCTGATGGGAAATTGTAAGCCTCCTAAATAGGTTGAGAGCTTCGTGGTGTTTGGGGTCTGGGCAGAGGTTAGAGAGAGAGAGAAATTTGAACATAAATTTTCCTGGGGGTGGCTGGTTTCTCTTCCAGGATGCACCTCTTTTTTTTTTTTTTCCAGCCCTTGGGAGAAACTTGCAAGGGCTGTACCCATCTTACAGATGAACCTTGGGAGCACCCCAATGTTGATGTGGGGGTGTTAGGGCAGGTTAAATGTTCCAAGCTGCTGCCTGTGGCTATGGACCACGAAATATTCTTCTTCCAAAGGTAGGCGGGAAGTGCTCTTGTGTGTGTAAATTCACAGACGCTTTAGTCTGGAAGACTATGAAACCAATGACTTGGTTTCAAGCCAGTGACTGTAATTGGCCATGTGTATTAGCGGCTTTAAAATCCAGGCTCTGTATCAAACCCTTTATGTTCATTCCTCATAAATGCCAACTGCATATATCTATACAAATAATATTCATTCTGTTTTGCCGGCTACGCTGAGTAATTGATGGAGGCTCAAAATGGTTAGGAAAGCTAATAAATGGCAGAACTGCCTTCTGTTGTGTGTTCATTTATTCCTCCACTGAAAACAATTTTTTTCCTGTGGACAATGTTACTGTTTTAAGAAAATGATGATGAGTACAAGAGGAAAGCAGATTGGCTGAGCAGTTAAGAGCACCAGCTCTTGGGCAGAACAAGTCAGGTTCAAATGCTGGAGCCAACATTTGTCAGCTGTGTGACCTCGGGCAAGAAACCTAACCTCTCTGAGTTTATTTCTTCTAAAATGGGGATAATCATTGTGTTTGCTTCATGGGATTATGTTAAGTTTTAAAGTACACACACACACACACACACACACGCACACATACGTACATACATATGTATATGTACACATTTATGTATAGTATATTATTTATATAAACTTTTATGCCTAAGAAAACGCTTAGTCCTGGTTGTCGCCTTCAGGAAGCTGAGAACCTCATGCTTCTCAGGCACATATAAAATGCACTGGGAATACACACCCAAATGGAACCAACTCTACAATAGGGCAGCCAGACAAAGGGCATGGTGCCCGGAAGAGGGAGAGCGAGCAGTCCGTTCTATGTGAGCGGCGGAGTGAGATGAGCTTTGGTAAGCACGTAATTGGGTAGGCAGCGCGAGGGTGGTTCAGGTCGAGGGAACACAGTGAGCCCAGCTTTTGGAACAGAAAAGAAAAATATTTGTGGACGGATCAATCCCAGTGGAGCCTAGGGTCTGGGGAGGGACGTCACAGGACGTGAATCTAGGAAGGCAGGTGGCTCAGAGCGTGAGTTGCTCCCCTTGCAATTTAAGTAAATCTGAGTAGTCTCATCTTTTCGTCAGCTCAGAATTGTTTGTGGGTAATTACAGCACCGAAAGGAGATTTGCTGATTTTCCTTTCATTTATTTAGATAATGTGCCCAACATAAAGTTTCACCACGCTCGGCGAATCAAGCCCATACATTTAGGTCAATATTTGATGCGTCTGAACAACAACAACAATAAAAAAAATCCCAACTATTTAAAAGTTATTAATCCTATAACTAATATACCGGAAATCAGATAGATTTGTGTTATATTTGATCATCTGAAACTCACACATCTGGAGGTCATAAAACAAACATGCAAACAAAAAACCAGAATGCACATACATTTAACTTTAAAAGGCTGAAAGCACTCCCCGGATAACGGGTTGTGATTCTAGAACCAAATTAAATGAAGTGACAGCAGGAGGTACTATGAAGGCAGCTGACCATGCAGGCAGACGCTAGCAGAACACTGAAATAGCCCACACGTCTTCACAGCCAGCTGGGGCTGTTTAGCAGGAGAGCGCGGCGGCCTGAGGTCATCAGCATCTTGGAGGTGGCGCTGTCCCGAGTTCCAAGGCCAGGATCAACCAGCCACATTTTAGTAAGTGGAGGTAGTGAAATAAATGCATTTTATGGGGATTTCACCCAGCATGGTCAACATGACAGCGTTTCCGTGTTTAAAGAGATCAGCCGTCACGATTTGAAATAGTCGGCACTTACTTTCTCACCTCATTCCCAGGACAGGACTGGATAATTGATATTTAAATTTCTATTACTCTCTCCCAACACAATGTCTATGTCCTAGAAGTTGTATAGGCCTGCCAACACACAATAGAAAGTAACAAAACTTTGGAGGGGGTATTCTTAATTCTCTTCTTGTGTGTAAAAACCAACTGACAGGCTCTGCCAGTGAACATGGCATTTGGGAAAGAGGGTGAACCAGCAGAGAGAAATGTAATTATCCTAAGCTGTCTCTTTTAAGGTGCTGTTCCCCTGCACTCCTGTAAGAGCTGATATGAGTGTTTTGCAGAATGGGTTACTGGTAAATCACATGGCATGAGAAAGAACACCTACACTCATTTTTTTCTCTCTTTCAGTTTTCTGAGAAAGCTTAAATGGTTATTTCCCTGGTGATTTTTAAAACTCACTCTTGGGAATCAAAGTGCAGGATCCACATATTTGGATTTGCACATTTATTATAATGAAAAAATTATTTATGGCATATTAACTCTTAGTCCCATATTGTTGAACTTAGGGCCACTCTACTGGAAGCTAACACAAGAAAATGGTTAACTGTATGTTCTTTGATGAGTGAAATTATATAACACCCAGATTGAATAACTTTCTTATTACACTGGCTATGTAATGTTTATCCCTCTAATAGCAAATATTCTGTACTTAGTGTGGCCTTGTTCATAACATCGATTCCCAAGTCTAGATAGTTGACAGAAAAAAAAAAGAGACATTTGTATCTATTCCAGCTCCGTGCTGGCTTAGTTTGAGCAGAGGTGGAACGTTTTACAGATTACTTAAGGCTATAGATAATAAAAAAGTTGCCTTCCTGGAACCAATTGCTGGTTACTTAATCTTCTGGAAAGGGCTACTATCCATTTTCTACCAGAAAGCAAACCGCCAAACCAAGGTCACAGGGACAGAAAAGATCGCTTGCCCAAGAAACTGTGGTTGACAAGATGGCTGCAGTCCAAGTGACTGCGACAAATACCAGGTTTCCAGGAGAGCCATGGCACCCGCTAGCCATCAGCAAAGCTCTGTCAGTGTCTCAGAGCTGAGCCATTTCTCGGAAAGTGGAAGTTCTTCTCTGTGTACCCAATGGGTGGCATCACAATGGTCATTTTTTTCCCCTCAAACGGTCATGCACTGGCTCCGGTGATCTTCATCTGTGCTGTGCCTTCTCTAATTGGCATACATCTTGCTTTGACCATTGGATGTCTTTCTGGAATATCTGATTCCTAGGAGGAAATTAAATATTCAACGAAGTGGTTTTGTTTAGTCCTTGTAGTGTTGGGATCCTTACAGGGGGGGTTTAGTGGCTACTGAAATAGACCATCTATCAGCATTAATTACCAGGAGTCCTGCCCTTTTAGAAAGTGCGTCTTCTGTTTCCACTAGGGGTCCACATAATGGACTGAAATAGCAATGACCTGGAGAATTCAGGCAGTGCTTCAAACCGTATTACACCAAGAGGGAAGAAAACAAATGGCAATAAAATGGTGGTAGGAGAGGAAAACTTGCCCCTTCCTCCCTTCTAGGATCTTTGGCTTGCCTAATAATTAAATCGACATAAGACAGATCAACAGGAGAAAAGCAAGTTTAACTCATACGTACAGGAGCTCATTAAAAATATGACTCAAAAGAAATGACCAAAGCAGGCAGCTTTTATACCTTCTAAACAAATAAACAGTGAATTTGTGAAGAACTGACAAAGGAGTTTGGGCTTGAGGTAGTCAGTTAGTGAGGAAAGAACAAGGTTTGTTTATGTAGCCTTCTCAGCCCCAGAGTCCCCATCTCTGGTGGCGAAGATACCACATTCCTCCTGGCACAGGAAGGGCACTTTTCACAAGGGAGATTTATTTCCTGGGTTCAGGGGCACAAGGGAAAGTTGTAGTGTCCTTCTTGCACTGGCTGTTTCTTAAGTAACTTTAATTCAAAACAATCAGTGTACCAGAGTGGCGTATTTGGGGGTGATATATCCTGCTCTCCTTCAGTCCTACTGTTGAAACTTCCAAGAAGTTTTGCAGTTCAGCAGCGGACTTGCTCCATCTCACTGAACCCGTCTGTGATCCTTGACAATAGGTCAGCTTCCTTAAGCTCATTTCAGGAGGCAGTGAGACAGGAGGTGGGCTCTCAAGGTTACACCTCTGCTGCTCTAGCTACCAGATATTTAGTAAGAGGCATTTCTATGGGAAGAAAAGGAAGACAGTGGTTAATGATTGGAGTTTGTAGATTCTGAGGGCGGCCAGTTGAGAGGATATCAAGATGTCAGGCTCCAGGCAATTTCATTTGAAGTGAGGGCAGCCAGTGGCAATCTTGACACATTTTCCTGGTTTGCAATTTGAAGGTCTCCGGTGGTCTTTCTGAGTGGCCCACACAGCGACAGGCACAAAGGTCGTCTCTACATGGGCTGTCGTGGTGACTTCTCTGAAGTTTCTATCAAGTTGTCCAGCTTTAGCTTGCAGGACCTGGGTAAAAGGGTAGCTTCAGTTCTCAATGATTTCAAGTCAGAAAGGTGGGAGAAAATTGGAAACAGTAGTTTGGAGGGTTGTAGCCAGATATTGAAGGAAAAGGGTTCAGGATCCAGTTAGTTTACAGGTAGGAAACAAAACCTCAAAGGTAATTAACAGCTCTAGAATCTGACATCCATAAAGGTATATCCCTGAGGCAAAATCCCCCACCACAATTACCTCGTTTCTGTCAAAGATAACCTTAGTAAGACTCGTTTGTCTGGTTTCAATAGGCTTCGCTTGGTTATTTATAGAAGTGCAGCAAGAATAGCAGTTGACTATATAGATTTTTTTTTTTAAATTTTAATCTCCTTTGCTGTAACTTTTCATAAGAAATCTCAGATTGGACTCGTACAAATCTCTTGAGGCTAGGAAGCCAAGTCAAGAACTTGCCCACAGATTTGCCATCAGACTTTACCTGCAATACGTATAAATGTGAATTAATTTCTCTTTTCTAGAGGTTCCCCCAGATTTCCTGAGGTTCTTGAGCCTGCCCGGAAGTGATCTTTCTTACTCACCTGATAAGGCTTTGTGGACTCTTGTAAGCAACATGCTAGGCTGTTTTTCAAAAGGTGGGGCATTATTGGCTCCATAAAAATCAACCTCAGTTCCTTAAAGCTGTCTGGTCTGTGTGTATCCTTCCCTAATATGAGATCCCAGTCCGAAGCCGTGGTAATATAACCAGTGCTTCCAATTGAGTTCTGTCATGAGGAGAAGAGATTCTTACTGAGCTCACACATGTAACTCTGTTGCCATGAAAATCACAATACTCGCTAAGAGTTTCTGAATTCTAGAGGGATTAAGTAAGGAGGACAAGATAAATGTTTCATCTTGATTCCCAAAGATACATTTTTACTAAATTGTCAATAGCTTAAGAGAAAGTAGAAAAAAGAAGTTTCCTTAAATTTGGAAAAGCAAGACAAAAAAGAACCAACACTGTTGCAGGCAAAAAAAGTCATAAAAATTAGAAACATCCTCATCAGTTACTTTAGTCCCGTGTGATTAATTCTTGTCGACCTTCTTGATCTTTTGTTAGCAGTTATGTGAAGCCATCAGTCTTTGTTTTGTGTGTGTTTTCATCAGCATTCGGCAGCTTCTTACTCAGCTCAGCTGTGTGCCTTGAAAGTTATCCGAAACCTGCACGTGATAGAATCCTTTCCTTGAATCTTCTCGAAGATGAAGCACCTCTGTAACAGCATCAGAGTAAAACAATAACCATCTGTAAATGACAAAAGGCTTAAAAATGGGACGGTTAAAGATCTGATTAGAGTTTATTACAGGGAAATTTAGTTATTTCTGTGACACACAACATTTCGATATAATAACTAGAATTT